GGCTTGAGACTGGCCTTGGCGGCAGGCGACGGCGAAGGCTTGGGACTCACACGCGCACGGCTCACCGGGCTAGGGCTGGACAACCGCTTGGAACTCGAAGTTAGCGTGCGGCTCATCGGGCTCGGGGTGACCGTCTCGCCATCGGCTCGGCTTGGGACTGGGCTTTGGAGCTGCAAGGCATCCCGAAGTTTCTCCGCTCGAAAGGCCTTGTAGGGCGTGTCGTCCATGTCCATGTTGTCGAAATCCAGCTTGCGCTTGGCGTGGAAGGTTGGGCTTTGGGCAGGCTTCTTCAAAACGATAGAGCTTTGGGAAGTCTTCCGGAACCCTTTGTCCTCGGGGCTACCCGACTGGCTCCGCACATCCAAGGATACCTGAGTTCATCTGGCTTCGAATGGGACATGATGCTGACCCTGGGCAGCATGCAAAGACTCATTGGCCAGGAAATAATTTCGGCGATGTTGCAGAGGACTTCTCAGTGTTCACTTTGGCCTCGTCTTTCTTTGTGCTGGGGCTGCTGGGGCTCACCAGATTCACGGTAGCGAAGATGCGGTCCTTCATGTTTACAGCAGCACTCCGTAGCATAACATTGAGGGGCTTGGGATGAGAATGAGATATCTACATCCTACTAACAACATATTCCAACCCATTTCCTCGCACCCGGCCTCGAAGCCCACAGATGTCGTTCCCTGGGATGGCGTAAGGACGACCTCCTTCAGGGATGATTAAAAGGTGTTTTAAAGGATTACAAGGGAAGTCGTAGAATGGGTCCCAGAAAAGATTGCCACTGAGGCTTCTCTGGCGAAGCTACACGCGCATCCCACCAATGTTCAAGGACCGGGCTCACCAGATGTCTTTTAGTCAAGTTCAGACCAGAACGCAATCCCTCAATGGTCGTCCTTCGGCTCCTTTTCGGCCAGCCCAGAATCCTGCAAAGCATGGTTTTCGTGTTAAGGCAAAGCTTGCAACCCAACTTAGGACTGTAACATTGGACACAACCACCAATCCAAGCAACCCCCGTCCTTGGAGCCATCGCCCTTGACATTAATGACCCCAGAGTGCTCGGGCAGTGTTTTTGGAATTGCAACATCCTGCAGATTGAAGGCAATGAAATGAAAGCTGTCCTAGCTCATCTAAGATTTAGAGAATGCAGACTGATGACGGTATGATACGATGTGTGTCAAACAATAACAATCCAAACGACCATCCTCCGTCTGCTCGGCAGCATGCACGATCGTGGAGTGGTTCACCGCAAACTCGTTGTCCTGCAAGAACGAGAAATTAACTTAAACTAAGCCTGTACTCCACACTATCTCACAAAGGAACCGAATAATAACCGACATGCACCTTGGAGGGATCATCATGGCCACTGTTTCCATCAGATAGCACGAAATCACCAGGGCCAGACTTTGCACCGCATGGCGTGGGAACCTAGTCAACATCGTCCTTCTAAACCCACTCACAAACTGACATAGCAGTGCTAGCCCGGATATTTCCAGTCAGGTCTCGTCCACCTGGGTTTCCTGAATCAGCTCGGGTTCCTCAGGCATCTCTAGGGCCCCGATAGCATTGGATGAGCACCAGCATTTTGCTCAGCACCCAATGGCCCCTGAACCCGGGACGGCTTTAACACCCACAGCGTCACAACTCGGCAGACAACACAGTAAGCAGTGCAGAAACATGCACCTTGGAAGACCCATCATCGCCAAGTTTGCCACTGTTTCCATCAGATAGCGACAAATCACTCGGGCCAGACTTTGCATCGTGTGGCATGAGAACCTAGGCACCCTCTCTGTGTATCCAGTCACAAACCCACACAGCAATGCTAAAGTGGATTATTTGAGTCATGTCTCATCCAGCTGGGTTCCCTGAATCAGCTGGGTTTCCTCCTGCATTGGATGAGCACCAGCATTTTGCTCAGCGCCCAATGGCCCCTGAACCCGGGACGGCTTTAACACCCACAGCGTCACAGCTCGGCAGACAACACAGCAAGCAGTGCAGAAACATGCACCTCGGAAGACCCATCGTCGCCAAGTTTGCCACTGTTTCCATCGGATAGCACCAAATCACTCGGGCCAGACTTTGCATCGTGTGGCATGAGAACCTAGGCACCGTCTCTGTGTATCCAGTCACAAACCCACACAGCAATGCTAAAGTGGATTATTTGAGTCATGTCTCATCCACCTGGGTTCCCTGAATCAGCTGGGTTTCCTCCTGCATCTCGACATAGGGCCCCGATAGCATTGGATGAGCACCAGCATTTTGCTCAGCGGCCAATATCTCCTGAACTCGGGGACGACTTTAACACCCACAGCGTCACAACTCGGCAGACAACACAGTAAGAAGCGCAGAAACATGCACCTTGGAAGACCCATCATCGCCAAGTTTGCCATTGTTTCCATCAGATAGCACCACATCACTCGGGCCAGACTTTGCATCGTGTGGCATGAGAACCTAAGCGCCGTCTCTGCATATCCAGTCGCAAACCCACACAGCAATGCTAAAGTGGAATATTTGAGTCAGGTCTCATCCACCTGGGTTTCTTGAATCAGCTGGGTTCCCTCATGCGTCTCGACATAGGGTTCCAGGAACATCGCTGCCTCAGCAGTCCCACGTCCATGGGTCCATTTCTCTTGAGCCTTGGATCCACTAACAGAGTGCATAAGTTCAGCACACTGTCCAGGGGATATTTGGGGATCATCACACTTAGAGCCTAGAGCAAAACTTGGCAAAACAAGTTGTTGGAGGAGGGGAGTAAATGACTCACGACAACTGAACCCTGACCTGCAGTTGGGATGCATCGTCTCGGTCACCGTCATTTTTTTCGTACCATAGCGTGGGAACCTGGGCACCGCTTTCGTAACCGAACAGAGCAATTTTATGGCAGTTTGAGTCAAGTCTCCTCCTGGGTTTCCTGAAACATCTTGGTCTGCTCATCATTGGCTGCCTAGGCCGTACAATCCCCACATACAACCTCGGATACCCCACTTATCTTGCCCAGCAGCAGGACTCGGCGGCTCTGGCACTGGCACAGCAGGACTCGGCGGCGCTGGCAGTGGCACAGCATCGATCAGAGCCTTGTGGTAATTTGGGATTTGTGGTTTTTCAGGAGTTGGGACCTTGTGCTTCACTGTGGGATGCCAGGTTCATGTCTGTATTGCTCACAGGTTTTCAGGGCTTACTGCTCACGGGTTTAGGCTAAGGTCTCCTGGGATGCTCCTAATCTAATTATTGGAGCTTCGAAGTGTTTAAAATGCTTTGAATCGCCCTCGAATCCTCGAGAGGATTTATAACTAAATCAACCCTAAGCCTTAAACCCTTTCATATTCTCTAACTTTTCAGGATACCACAGGGTTGTAGGAGTTTGGGGTTCTAGGGTCTTAGGGGCCCAGGGTAAGGCCTCAGGTTTTCTAGCCCAACTAAATATGCTCGGATGCGGCTCGTGGCCTCGGGTAATTTGAGACTACAACTATTAGCTTCAGGTTGTGTGCTCGGACCGGATGTGAGGTATCTCTCGTCTAATGTTGGCTTGATTTTGACAAAAAAAGGAAGGGAACCGTTCAGGCAAGCCCTGGCTCAACCCTAATTAACCGAAACAAACACAAACATGCACAGATGCTCTCACAATCCCTCTTACTTAGGCTGATGCATCGCTACCGTGTGCGCTGGCTTCGAGGCTGGGCACAATCTGGCACCTACCTGGACCGAACTGAACCCACTAGCTGAACTTAGTCATACATGCCAATTCGAATGCAGTGGCAGGCACTGCTGCGCCCGCGCCGGTGGCTGCGTCGGCTTCACCCGATGCCTGGAATTAGGGTTTAGGGTTTTTTAGGGTTTAAATATAGGGCTTTGAGGTTTAGTCTAAGTTTAGGGTTTAAAGGGAGAATAGTTAAACCACCCGAACCAGGAGCGTGGCACCTTTAGAACTTCAGATTGTGGCTTTCGGCATGATGTTGTGATTTATTTGAGTTTAGGGTTTTAGGTTTTAGGGTTTGATCTAGGGTTATTTAGGGTTCAAAGGGAGAATAACTAAACCTCCTAGATCAGGATTACAGAAAATGCTAGGCACCACTAAGCGTTCTTGGAACTTCACATCGTAGTTATGTATATAGTACATATGTAAAACACTAGCACAGGACATTAAGTTCCTAACACTGAAAACCCGAAGCCCTAATAAACCCTTTAAGCCCGCTGAACCCTTAAACCTAAACCACCCAGAACCCTAACACAGGACATTAAGTTCCTAAACAATTTACACCTTAAACCCTATTAAACCCTGAAGCCACTGAACCCTTAAACCTAAACCACCCAGAACCCTAACACTAACTTAGGCCACGAAGTCCCTAAACCCTTTAAACCCTATCAAACCCTAAGCCCTAAATTGTAAACCCTCTGAACCCTTATTAAACCTAAACCACTCAGAACCCTATGACAAGCCATGAAGTCCCTAAACCCTGCAAACCCAAAGCCCCATTAAACCCTAAATAAACCCTCTCAACCCTTCAACCTAAACCTAAACGGCCATTGAGGAAAGTCGGAGAAGGTACGACCCTGAAACCCCCCCCCCCCCCCAATGTCAATCCCTAACACAGGCCGTGAAGTCCCTAAACCCTTTGAACCCGAAACCCTATTAAAGCCTAAGCCCTCAGCGCCCTTAAACCTAAACCACCAAGAACCCTAACCCTGTAAACCCTACTCCATCAGCCAAGGCATGCTGCACAGACCTCTGGCGCGGATGAGGACACCTCCTGATTCGGGACAACTCGGGTTTATGGTTCTTAATGGAAAATGTATCAGTTCTATTCTGCATGACCAACTAAGACTCCTCATCTTCAGAGGATGCACTTCCCGAAGAGGAGCCCAGAATAATCTCAGCGGTACCGGAATACTGCGTCTCTGCATCCTGCCATCAAGTGACATGGGTGAAGTGCACAAGGAATAGGATTCATCACTAGAAGAACTGGAAGTTAGGCAGATTCACTCTTCACTTAGGGATGGTCCTGCATCAAGCTTGCCAAAGCATCCAGGTCATTCAAGTTGGTAGCACCCTTCTTGCGGCCACCTTTTTTGGAAGCTGTTTTTTTCTTTCCTGATGATTTCTTGACCTTCTTCCGTGACGAAGTCTTCCTGCTGCTCTTGGCTTTGCCTTTTCTCTTCTTCTTGTCCTGTAAGAAATGTGTGGCAGGCTAACAAACCCACCCACTGCACCATAGTGTCATAAACAGCTGGAGCCTCGTCGCTGCTTTCGGCTGCATCATCATGAGAATCATCTGTGTCGTCTTTTTTCTTTTTGATGATACGGGTTGCAGCCTCACTGCCACTCGAGCTCTTCTTTCGGCGGCCACCCTTTCTGCTGGCAGGTTTCTTCTTTGGACCTGCCAGCTCATCATCTTCCTCACCATCACCATCACCGTGCTCTTGCCCTTCACCGCTGGACTTGTCCGTGACTTCAAAGCGCTCCAGCCTCCTGATGCCACTTTGCCCTGCGCCTCCAGACTGAGCATCAGCATCCTTTCCCTCAGCCTGCTGTGCCTTGCTGTTTAGCTTCTCGAGCTCACCCTCGTAGTCGGCAGTAGCGAAGGCTGGGGCATTGAAGGATGGTGAGCTTTCTGTGCTGATGCTATCCACATTGAAGCGTGACATGGCCGGCCCCGGTCACAACACAAAACTAAGTAAAAAGGCAGCTCGAGGCACAACACCGACGAATTCCCAAGCAGTAGTCCCAGCTTGCTAAGACATCTTGCTCCACAGGACACGGACAATGCCTGCTGCTGCCACTGGCGCCGCCTGCTGATGATCCCGACTGCGCCTGCTGCCTGCACCTGGGCCTGATTAACGAACGAAGTCTTTTCCAGACGAAAGATCAAGTGCTTTGATGCGCATGAAGATTTCGGCATCTTCGAACACTTGCGAGGCACATGTGTGCGAGGTTTCAAGTTTTAAACTGCCCTGCCAGGCCCGGCTAGCTCTGTCACAGGCATGGATTGTAGCACTGTGATTAATAACCGTCGTCGATGAGAAACATTTCAACCCCTACATACAATAGGGACCAATGGAGCAGGTCACAGACGAGAGCAGCATGCCTTGGCCAAGGGTCGTCATGTCTGCGAGAGCACCCTATGCCACCATGTTGGCTAGCACTCTCCCGGCAAAAGCAGTGACTCCACACCTGAGGTGACCCATCAGCTGCGTGTGTGGCATCTCCCGGCGAGGTACGTGTGGCACTAGGTTGGAACACTGTTGTCGAAGCATGCTTGTCATTCCCAACAACCCGAAAAGGTCTAGCACGGAATACTGACGAAGCAAACCGAAGGGTTAGCATAGGTAGTCTTAGCAAGTTAATAAGGGTTTCTCCGATTCAAGCTGATAGCACCCTAGGTTCTGTCTCAGACACGATCGGGAATTTTTGACACGAGTTCTCTGGCTAGCCCTGCTACCAGAGTGGCTTCGGGTCCTAGGGGTTCCAGGGGTCCTTAACAGAGGCCCTCGCACGCACACACACACACAGACCTGATAGTTTCGAGCCACAGACTACCCGACGACTCAGAAGAGCCGGTGAATGCCCGGCGTGAGTTGCACCTCCTGGGTGTGCAGCAGCACGGGCCGCACAGGTGAGATCACACGATGATGGGTAAGCCTGACAGAACAGGGGCAAGCTGTCCCAGAAAAGATGCTACATGATGCAGCTTGTGGGGGATAAGATCTGACGGGTTACTACCCACTCAATCCAGAAATAGTCGCTATCGTCACATCGTTTCTGAATCATCCGGCCTCACGCGCCATGACACTTGGAATGGAGGACGTAGAGAGCGGACTTTGGCCACATCCATATGGGCACCGAAGGTGATGGGGCGGACCTGATTTCATACGACACACGATTCGAGCACCATGTAATCGAGAGCAAAAGACCACAAGACAAGGCCCCCGAAAACAACACAATACACAACTATCACTGCTACGGCATCCACACACACGCAATGCTTGCCACAGCTGCACAAGAAAAGTTTGGATACACAGGTTAAACCACTTCATGTACGAAACAAGAAACTTTGGAGATCTTGCGCTTCTTGGGAGCATTGGCCCCTTTCATTGGGTCCATAATGAAGACGATCTTCTCGATCGGCTGCACGTCATCATTATCACCCTTTTGGGAGCCCATGACGGTGACGAGCTCGCCGGCATCTTCCATTGCCACCACAAATGCTTTCAGGGTCATCACCTCAGACACAAACACAAAGTTTCACGTGACACAGAAATGATACGAACAAGTCACATCGACTTTGGCTTGCTATGCACATCGATTGAACTTAATTAATAGTGGACCCTCTGACCACCTTGTTCCACACGGTCAGGTTTTTCACCTCGTCTGGCAACGTTCGGTCACACTCAGCAATGATGAGCACATCCTTCATTGGGCCACCGAGGCCATACCGGAACCATCTCCCGCTCGGGTCGGAGAGTATGTCGTTGGCGGTTGCACCGTCTGCAAAGTCACCAGACCCGAAGCCCAGCCATTCTGTATTGGCAGGAATGGAAGCAATCTTGTCGCTGTGGACCCAGAGGCTTGCATCGTCTGGGTCATACAGCAACGAGTAATCACCCATCGAAGCTTCGAGCAGCCTGAGAAATAAAGTCAATGGCTTGCTCAAGGGACACAGTCGGAAGCGGCACACATCAACAATCACAACTTTAGGTTTAGATGCGTTTTGTGCTCCTTCTGGAAGCTCCCCATATCGTCATAGTCCTTCTGCAACTTCTTGGGGCTTTGCACAACTTTGTTGTTGGCCTCGTCACTGCCCACAGGCCCAGACGCCGTCTTGTGGTCCCGGTTGAACTCTTTGTCGTGCGCTTGCAACACCTTGTCAAAGTCATCCGCAACCAGCTGGGAGGCCTGGAACTTGGTCACAAGCGCCTGCGAGATGATGAGGCAACCGCCCACCGGGACGGTGACCTGGTAGTCGTACTCAGACCGGGCTTCGGATGTGTGCACCTTTGCAAGGTCGGCCATTGCAGCGGCGAAGTCCGGAAATCCGTTGATTTGCATCTGCTTCCCTTTTGCCTTGCTGAACAAGGAGTGCAGCAGCACATCCTCGATCGAAACACAGACAATGCAACACTCAGACAAAAGACTGGATCTGACGTCACTAAATTTCATCCAAGGCTCTTTGCAGAACTTGTATTCCACATCGGTGTGTGCCACCGTGGCACAAACACATCTCATGTTCTCCATTTGCATCTGCAAGGCTGCAAGTCCGACCCAGCCGTCATGGCCGAAGAGGTCCACGATAACCGTATTCGACTTGTGTGCATCCAATGCAACCAGCAACTTCTTCACCAAGCCCGTCCCTCCAAGATGTTGCCGCATCTCCCCGCAGGCAAAACAACTGTCAGCGCTGAGATCACATGGTGGGTGGGTTGGTGGGTGGGGGGAGAACAGCAGCAGCAAAGAGTTTGACCTCTCCTGGGACTTGGACAACCGATCGCTGTCGGCGCCCACTTTGCGACCGGCCTCAACCTTGACCATCTCCTCAGCTCAGCCAACCCAAAAGAAACTGACAGGGTCATGTCCTCATGCAAGCCACCGAACACCACAAACACAAGTGCGGGCATACTGCAGCATACTCACTCAGGAAAAAACAAGCACAATGAAGCAAAGCAACTGACCGGGGCAGCATCGGGACTTTGTCAAGGACGAGCCTTTTGAAGATCGTCTTCCGGACCAAGCTGGTGGCCTGTGTGCTCGTCACCAGCCAAGCCTCGTGAGAAGCATTCCTTTGTCTGTAGACCGTAGCATCGTCGAAGATCAAGCTCAAAGGTCTGACCTCCAGGCCTCTCGCCTGCTCTTGCAAAGTCACCATGAGGGTGTACTTGAAGTCCCTCAGCGCCGAGGTCGCCTCGACCTTGGATGCCTTCAAGGCGTCGCTGTCGATGTCGTCCGTTGGATCCTCCTCGACGGCCCTGTTCATTTCGTTTTCCTCCTCCTGCTCTTGCTCCTTCCTTGGTTGCTGTAAGCCTAAACAAATGCACAATGCAAAGCAATGGTCCAAGTCTTGAGCAAAAGCTCTATATGGTCACGCAACAAATGTTATCATGCGTGCTGGCCACGTCCTGACCCGGCCGTCTGAGGCACGATTCGGCATGAACACAAGACCGACGAAGGTGTTTGGCATGTTGGCTGCCGCTGTTTGCAAGGAATTCACCAGGAAACTCACCTTCGGCGCACTGACAACACCCTGGGTGGTCAGGTTCGCGATGTACACCACAAGCTCCGCCCCGGAGTTCCTCACACCACCTTGCAGGCCGACGAGGCTTTTCGAAAGCCATGGCTTCAGCTGTGGATCCAGTGGCTTCACCTCGAAGTCGCGGTCGACGCCCGTCCTCTTTTTCGGAGCCACGTTGAAGAGAGGGAAGTTCTCATCCCCGTACTCACGAATCTGGGCCCACCCGGTCTTGTGAAGTGTCTGCAGGGCGAACATATGTTGCAAAAGACTCTCATATGAAACCACAACACCTGCTAGAGACAGCTCAGGCTGGCAAAACTGCATGTGAGGAGACCCTGAAACCTGTCCTCCAGCAAGGATACAGCAGCTTGTCGCTTGCGCTCGGTATCACCGGAAGTTCGCAGCAGCTCCCTTATGGGCTCAACACTAAGAGCAAGGTTCATCTCAGCACGACCTAGCTTTCAGACTGTCACTTGGCCAATCACTATCAGAACCATATGTCCAGGGACTAACTATCTAGCACTGCAGAAATAGTCTAAGAGAAAAACTTCCAACTCTCGGGCTGTGGGTTTGTTCGATAACACGGAACTTAACTGAAGCCGAGACACGAACGAAAGTGGGACTGGTCGTTCATGAGCTGCCGCTCGAAAAGCTCGTAGGCACTGCGCTCGGCTTGCCGCAAGGCATTCTGAATCTTGGACTGGCCCTTCTCCAAGAATTGCTGTTGTGCTTCCCCACGAGCCTCACAAACGAAGCCGAGCTTCTCGGGATCGAACTTGACATCCTTGGCCTTGACCACTCCCCGCAACTCCGGGTCCAGTGCCCTCGGATGCCAGAGAACAATGAAAACAACAAACAACAACACTCCTATAAGCACAGGCTGAGCGACATGAGAGTGATCACATAATATCGATCGCAGCAAACTCTGTTGTTGGAAGCAGCACAGAAAAACCCAGCTCACTAACCTATCCTCTGGCTTTGGACTGGGGCTCTGGATCTGCGGCTCTAGAAGGCACAAGAATAGATTCTACATTGCCCGAACCAGAAGACAGGATTGGATGTGGACCGGGGAAGTGCAGCCATGTGCGCAAATGGCTGTA